TCAGGTGATTGACATGTCGGTTGTCCCATCCACCTGTCAAAGTTGGCCTACAGGGGTGGAACCAGTTAAGGATCTGGCCCACTGGGCCACAAAGTTTCCCCATCCTGGTCTCTGGCACCTGGCATTCAGATGTACTGTGCTTCTCAGAATGGATGTCCTCAGGGTTTTTTTTTGGCCAGAACTCACCACCACCTCTCAGGTGGGAGCCATTGCCATTATAAGAGAACAAGGGAGGTGTTTGTGGTGAAGTTCCGGCATCTCTTTTTCTAGAAAAATAGCACCGGATGTTCCATTTAGATATCATAACCCTGTAACTATCGGTTTAACCAGTCCTCCGTGAATTAGTAAAAAAACAAACACATTTAAACCCTAACCATAGCATCTCATACTGGCAAATTCCACAACCTATTAATGCAATTAGCACATTGTAGGCTCCGAATGCCACATAAAGGATAGACAATAGACTGCCCAGGACAGCTTTGGAACTCGGGCAGAGAGATTTAGCTGGGGAGGGTGGGGAAATGTTGGTGGATAATTTCCGCCTCTTCAATAATGGTCTTCAGACTCTGGCTGAAATCCCAGTGAAAACTGGACGTGCGTATGCACAAGAAAGTGGAAAGAGTCTGAGTGTCCATTGTCCCTCTCTTGCTTCCCCCGGGGGATCTTTCACAGCTCTGAGTAAATATTAATTTTGGCACCGGCCCTTCTGTGATGTGGCGATTTCCCACTCTAGCTGCCTTCTTGAAGTCACAGTGCCTTTCAGTCTGTACTCCTGGGAAACGGAGAAGGTTCACCAAGAAATGAACCTCTCCTTTTCATAGCAAACAAGTTTGGAGGGGAGGTAGCCAAGAAGGCTGTAACCAGATCACTTAATATTTCGGCGGTGGTGGGGCATATCATTCAGGAGAGAGAGAGAGAGATCAGCAACTGTTCCAAAGGAGATGAAACCGGCAATATAATTCCATCAGCTCTACAGGGCGTTTAACCCACTTAGCAGCCAATTAAGTTGCTTCCCCACTGGGTTTTGTTTCTTCTGGGAGAGCCCACAACCCCAAAGAAGGTGCCTGTGCATTAGCAAGCAATGCATAACATACTAGCCCAATTTCTTAGCAATCCCCTGTGCATAATTGGCTTGCATTGTACAGCTGAAATTCTTTTTAATCGTTTTCTGGGAGTAAGTGCTCTTGAACTCCTGTGGCTATTATTATGATTATGATTATTATTATGATTATTATGATTATTATGATGATGATGATGATGATTATTATTATTATATGTATACCCTGCCCATCTGGCTGGGTTTCCCCAACCACTCTGGGTGGATCCCAACAGAATTAAAAACACAATAAAACATCAAATATTAAAAACTTCCCTAAAAAGGGCTGCCTTCAGATGTCTTCTAAAAGTCAGATAGTTGTTTATTTCCTTGACATCTGATGGGAGGGCATTCCACAGGGCAGTTGCCACAACTGAGAAGGCCCTCTGCCTGGTTCCCTGTAACCTCACTTCTCGCATGAGGGAACCGCCAGAAGGCCCTCGGAGCTGGACCTCAGTGTTCGGGCTGAACGATGGGGGTGGAGATGCTCCTTCAGGTATACTGGGCCGAGGCCATTTAGGGCTTTAAAGGTCGGCACCAACACTTTGAATTGTGCTCAGAAACATACTGGGAGCCAATGTAGGTCTTTCAGGACTGGTGTTATATAGTCTCAGCGGCCACTCCCAGTCACCAGTCTAGCTGCCGCGTTCTGGATTAATTGTAGTTTCCGGGTCACCTTCAAAGGTAGCCCCATATAGAGCGCTACCTTTGCAGGTGACCCAGAAACTACAATTATGCATGGGCCCAGCTTGTAAAACAGTGAGCTTCAACAAAGGTATTAAGCCAGCTGAAATGCGGCTTTGAACTGTTAGTGCAAAGGATTAGAAGCGCAAAGGATTGTTGGCAGAGAGCAGGTGTGAAGCAGGGACCCCATTTATAAAAAAAGCAAGAAGTATCCAGCCTCTGTCTAATTCCCCTCACTCATTCTCCAGCTTCCTGTATTCTAATATGTCCCAAACAACAACAACAACAAAGCTCCATTATCGATCACTAGGCAGAGCAAGGAGAGTCCATCAGTTACTCTGGTGCTCCAGCAGAGGATCATCCTTGCTCCTGAAAAATGTCCCACATTCCTCCTTCTAAGCTGCCCGTGATGATCTTTGGATCAAAAGGCAGTGGACACAGCTTCTGACTTAGGGATGGGGAACCTGCGGCTCTCAGATGTTGGATTCCAACTTCCATCAGCCGCTCTCCAACATGGCCAGTGGTCAGGGTTGATGGGAGTTGCAGTCTGAGAATATCTGGAGGGCAACAGCTTCCTCATCCCTGTCACTAAAACAAGTGCTGTCACATTCAGGGAAACTAAACCCTTCAGTGCCTCTCACTGCTCCTGATATCTCACCACCCTCCCTGCCTCCTCACGTGTTCAGAGAAGTGGGGATCAGGTAACGATATCTAGCCAGAGTGCTCTCCTGTTTATGATCAGAGAATGCTATAATATTTCATTGTACAGTACATACTGCTCTAGGGGAATTTTGATTTCCGGTTAATTGCTTTACTTATTTTCTTTAGCAGCCGAACCATGGTATAAATCTGTATGTAAACTAAATCAATACAGGTTTTTTAATGCCTTGGATGCATAACTAGATAGCTGGAGCATGATTTATAGGAACTGTTACTACTCCCTTCTTAGCAAATTGAAGGTATAATGAGATTTGGGCTGCAATTCTAGACTTACCTAGGAGTAAACGTTACTGAATTCAACAGGAGTTGCTTCTCAGAATCCAAGAGATATGTTACTTTCATTTTCCTTGCAGAGGAAACATCTGCATCGTTGAAACCCATAGGGGTTTCGTGAAATGTTTGAGTTAGTGGAGCAATTTTCTAAGAGGTTTTGCTTCTACCTAGTGGTAGAAATGTGAATTGTGCAAAAGGCTGCCCCCGCTTCCTTTGTTTGTAAAGGATTTGGCACCAATAAACTGTGAACTCTGCCAGCTCAGAATGTAGGAATACATGCCTTGGCTCTGAAGCTAAGCTCTGAAGAAGATTTATACTCTCTGAATCATGGTACATAAATAGCCACTTTCCCAAGCAAGAAATAATTGCTTCCAGTCAATGAGACAGGGAAGATTTTCTAGAGAGACCAGCACAGGTATTTGTGGGCTCGCAATTTTTGAGGACTTATTTGCAGTCTGTAGGACTGACCTGAAATACAGAATCACTCTGACTAGAGATTCAGAGTTCTAGATTCTCTCCTCATTGGCCAAGCTGCCTGCTCCTCCTGCTGGCTTCCAAAAGCCACTGTGGTTGGGTAGGAAGAGTTGGCACCCTTCTGTCTTGGGGAACAACAGAGTGTGCTTTTGGGGGAGAGGTCAAGCTGTTGGAAAGTTGCAGCGCCTGCTGTGGCTGTAGAGATACCGATACAGGAGAGACATGTTTTGTTGCAGCTGGGGCAGATGAAGGTGCCTAGCTGTGCTGCTGCAGATGCACCATTGTGCTTCTTCTCCCTGCGCTCCTCCCAGTGGCCATTTCTCCGCTGGTCACTTCTGTGGATGCATGACCTGTCTATCTCTAAGCACTGCGGTCCTCTGCAAGGGATTCATTCCCACACGACAGGGTTGACGTTGCCAGCCTTCATGTCATGTTTGCAGACATCTTTGTAACACAGAGTTGGTTTGCCAATGGGCCTGGTGTCTGAAGCCGCCTCCTCAGAGCACGTCCTTGGGGATCCTGCCATCTTCCATTCTGTGGGCATGACCAGGTCAGTGTAGACATCGCTGAGATAGGAGTGCAAACATGCCCGGAATATGGGCTTAAGGAGAGCACGTCTTTGTTTGAAACTCTATCCTGCTGTGTGGTACCCAAAATTTTCCTTATGCAGAGCATGTGGAAGGCATTGAGGCATCGCTCCTGGCAGTTGTAAGTCGCCCACAACTTACATCCATAAAGCGGGGTGCTCAACACACAAGTCTGTTAGACCTTCATCTTGGTATTCATTGATAGCAACACATTCTCCCATACCCTTTTGGAGAGGTGAGCAATTGCAAAATGACCTCATGAAGCCAGGACCATTAAGGGCCACTGAGGACCATTGGCAATGCAAGAGAACAGTCTTGCCCCCCACCCTGAGCTGTGAACATATACAGGGGATTTGGAAGGTTGCCTGGGTAACTGGACGTGATGTCACAGGAAGAGTTTGGGGCCTCTGGCATGAGGCTTGGGATAGCTGAGGAGAGGCCAGACCAACCTGGGCAAGCTGGTTGAAGGGAGGCTGGGAGAGATGCCTTGGACTACTGTCATCTTGAGATGACCATGCTGTGAGATCTGGACTCCTCCCATCTAAATTCAGTATGTGAATAAGTCACATTTCTTAAAGCTATGGGAACCTCCACTGCACCTTCAATTCTCCAAAGGGGCGCAAACACTGGTTGAGGACCAAGACGCCTGGAATCGCATGCATGGCTTGGCAGGGATTGGGGTGGGCTTCTGCAGTGCCCTAATCTCTTAACCTGTTCCTCAGTCTAAGCAATTTGTCTGTGATGTGGAGGCACTGCCTAAGCAGCTCTTCTTTTCCATCTCCTCTATTTGGTTGCTGCTCTGGACTTGTTTAGGACCTCTCTGTTGTTGTTGTTTAGTCATTTAGTCGTGTCCGACTCTTCGTGACCCCATGGACCAGAGCACGCCAGGCACTCCTGTCTTCCACTGCCTCCCGCAGTCAAATTCATGCTGGTAGCTTTGAGAACACTGTCCAACCATCTCGTCCTCTGTCCTCCCCTTCTCCTTGTGCCCTCCATCTTTCCCAACATCAGGGTCTTTTCCAGGGAGTCTTCTCTTCTCATGAGGTGGCCAAAGTATTGGAGCCTCAGCTTCAGGATCTGTCCTTCCAGTGAGCACTCAGGGCTGATTTCCTTGAGAAAGGAGAGGTTTGATCTTCTTGCAGTCCATGGGACTCTGAAGAGTCTCCGCAGCACCATAACCTCTCTGGGATGCTCTAAATGCGAGGTGGGTGGGTGGGGGAACCTCTCAAAGAAAGAGTAAGAGGGCATGCCTTTCTCTGCTCCTCAGCTGAGAATAATGTAATCTGGGTATTTGTGGGTTTTTGTTTTTTTTTAAAAAAGACGATAGAAACTGAAGCTTGAACCCCTTTCCCCTCAAGTCCACATACTGTCTCTCTTCCAGCCTGCAGCCTCTGTGTCTGATTCCATTATTTAACAAAGACCATCCCTAAAAAAGAATAGTGCATAACAGGAAGTGCAGGGAATGGCTTCTGTTATCTTTGGTGTTGCTGTGAGTCCCCACCCCCTGCTCCACAAATGAATCCGGTTGACGTGGTCTGCAAATTGTGCATCCTCACTTATTCTTCCCCCCCCCCTTTTAAAGATTTTTTTTTTATTTTGAGAAATTGATAATCATAAATAAATAAGAATAAAAATGTGCACCCTACCACCAAGACCATTCCATTGTTAACTATCCAACTTCCCAAAATTTCAACACCTCTTGCGATGGTTTGACCCCTTTCCATTTTAACAGTACAAATTCTACAAACACCTTCCATATCTCCTCAAAATCATATCTCCTGCATATTCCCCGACTTACCTTAATAGCACATGTTAATTTATCATTAATAACTATATCCCACACCTCTTTATACCATTCTTCCATTTAATATTCTGCTTGCCCCTTCTATTTCCTAGCTGTAATAATTTGTGCTGCTGTAAATAAATTTGTGAGCAAATCCTCACTTAGTCTTAGGACAAGAGATAATGCTAAATATAGGACATGGATTCCAGGGTTAGGTGAGGAACGGGGAGAGGGATATGGTCCACCCTGCTTTGCCCATTTGGGCAAACACTCACAAAGTACTCACCCCCAACACACCTAGCGCCACATTTCTTCTCTGGTTTGGGCTGGCCAGTTTGTTTTCGTTCTGGAAAGGAAAAAAACATTGGGGAATTTCCTGGGTTATAATTGCCCAAAATGACATAATTATAGCTAAACTAACAAGCTTACACTTTAACACACATAGCTAACAAGCAACACAGCAATACCAGTTCAATTTATTAAAAGTGGGAGGGTTGCTTCCCTCTCTGTTTATGAAACTTTACTGAGTGATCCCTTTTAATGAAACGATGCAAGGTGCCTGAATGATCTGGGTAGCAAGTACAGGCTTGGATTCAGGTGCATATATAACAATAAGAGAGAATTCCCCCAATCTGATGAGCCTGTCGCAAGCCTCTTGCTTGTGTATAGGTGGATTTTCTGGGCTGAAGGCAAACTATATGGCATGTCCCAAGAATGCACTGTATTTCCCTGCTTCCTTGGTTTCACAGGATAAAGGACAAGGAGAGAGGCTGTGCACATGCAGGGCAGTTTGAAGATGAATTTGATGCATCCCATGTACCGGTATGTGTATTTTTCACATCAGCCGCAAGACATTGCCCTGCACTTTCCCCCTATTTAATTGGGATTTCCCCAATCCATGCAGTAAGGGAATCCAACACAGAATCACATGTTATCTAAGGCACTGAAATGGATTGTATAAGAAGCATTTTTCTACATGTGGTGGCGTTTTCCTAGATGCCATGTAACGTCCCTTGCTTCCGTTGGTGAGGCTCCTTGGTGGGCTGCTGGTGGAGTCCAATGTGACATACACTTTAAAAATCATTTTTCACCTGCTCTTTTGTGCAAATCTGATATATTAGAAAACTTGTATCTTAATTTATTTATTTTTTATGCCTCTGTGCAGGTAAACGACGACCTGTGCATATGGCCATGATGGACCTCAAGTTTCTGGAACTCAATGAGGGAGGGCAAGTTCTAACTAAGGAGAGGGGACAGAAATGAGACAGAATTCAGTTGAAAGCATTTATGCATGGATAAACATGCCCCAAAGAGCACATGGAAAAATTGGATATGTGTGTCAGGCTGCTGCCAGGAACGTACAAAGTCAAGGAAATGATTCTTACCGTTTGTTTTTTATTCAGTATTTACAGAAAGAGGCTATAGAACCCAGCCTCTTGGATAATGGCGTTTTCCCAAGTGAATCTCCACCCCCAATGTCTCCCCCACTTCTTCATTCGTCACTTCTACGGGTGCAGCTAAGTGTCCTCTGCCTTTGAGCTATTTGCTCTCCTACTTTTAAGACATGCCGGGTTCTGGGAGATGGAGAGTCTGGAATGCTTTCTAAAGACACTGTGTCCATCAGCTGTCGCCTCTCTGGTGCTTCCTCCTCCTCCTCTACAATTATTTTCCAACTTTTCCCTTCCTTTGCCTCTGAGCTGTGACCTCCCACAAACCCCTGCTGTAAATCTCAACTGTCTTCCTCTTCCTCTTCCCTGGAACAGTCAAGCTGGGGAGGCGGTCTCTGCCATTCCTCCCCTGCCCCGTCCCTGACAATGTGTGGCCCACAGGCACATTAACAATCTGCTGAGTGTGGAGCCAGAGTGCTATTGCCACTTAATAAATTGCTCCTCTGTAATGGACTATGAAGTCTGTCTGTCTGTCTGTCTGTCTGTCTGTCTGTCTCTCTCTCTCTCTCTCTCACACACACACACACACACTGCCCTTTATTAGCAAAACAACAAGACAGAGTGAAGGGACAGGATACCCAAATCCTGTCTGAAATGACCCCAGGCTTCAATAATCACTCCAGGCCTCAAAACTATCCAAAATTCCTTTTGTCTTCTAAAAATCCAAAACAGCTTTTCTCTGCTCTTCTCTGCTTATTCTCACAAGATGCTGTGCATAGGCAAAATGTTACTTTTAAAGGCTAATGAATAGACTCTGTCAATGCCAAGAATACTCAGGCCTGAGAACTGAATCTTATCTCATTCGGTTGCAACATCTTGGACATGCTGAACCACCAGGGCTCCTCGACCCCTTGGCTCTCACCCCCCCCCTTTCCTGGGAAGGGTGCCAAGAGTCCAAGAGTCCCAAGACAGCTTTCTGTTCATGCTCAGAGGAACTCATGGGCAGGACTCTGGAAGAAGGAGGAGAAAGGGGGAGGGAACTGGAAGGGGTATATATGCTCTGTGCACATGACTGTAAACCCGTGCATGCTTTTTGTGAGTTATCACACTTGCTCCTTCTACCAGTTCATGGATGGTAGAAATAAAGCCTTTTCTCCTAAACGAGTGTCTGTTGACTCCCATTCCCTTTCCCGGGCGCAATATTTTTCCCACCCGAGGGCAAAGCCTCATAAGGCTACAAGAGCAGTTCACAACAACATAAAGACATTCCACCACCAACCATGAGCCAGACCATACCGCAACCTTGATATGAATGGTGGTCCGTAAATGCTAGGTGAACAGATGAAAAGACATTCAGGAGCAATTGTCAATGACCTAATGAAGAGAAGGTTGTCACACTGCTGCCCCCAAATTAGAAATCTAATTGAGGAATTGTTAACATGCTCCTCTCCACATGGCAGGGTGTTAATTCCTTGCTAAGGGCTTACCAGTGGTACCCACACCACCATGTTGCAGCGTAAGGTCACTGTTTAACAGAGTGCTCCTTTTCAGGATGGCAGCTATTTTGCTTAACAAAATTGGTGTGGAGGGTGTGGGGGTGTTTGTGTGAAGGTAGCCCATCTAGGAGAAGGAAAACTCTGGTCCTAAACCTCCGCTGCCTTGTGGGATATCTTTGGGAGAAGGTAAGGCTAAGGAATAAAGCCCTAAGACCAGGCATAGGCAAACTTGGCCCTCCATATGTTTTTTGGCCTACAACTCCCATGATCCCTAGCTAACAGGACCAGTGGTCAGGGATGATGGCAATTGTAGTCCCAAAACATCTGGAGGGCCGAGTTTGCCTATGCCTGCCTAAGACAGTTGGATGACAGTTGTCTCCTTCCAGCTACCCCTGCAGCCCAGCTGGTGCCAAATCTATTGCTCTGCTCTCCTTTGGACCATATCAATGAGGTCAACAGGGCGGGTCTTGTTGTCTGGGCAGCCAAAGACATCCATTACACACTGCCCAGGCTCAGACCCCGGAGAGGTCACTTCGGTGCTGCTTACGCTGCTGTTTGACTTCACCCCCAGAGGCTCACTCATTGTCTCTCAAGACCGACAGATGCCAACAACAAAAACCATCTAAATGGTTTATAAGGGGCAATCTAACTATTCAGGAAAAACAAAAAAAAACACAACAACATTAAAATGAAGTTAACATCTATAAATAAAATAATCAAACTTAAAACAGTTATATATAATCAAATTATTTGTTATTATAAGCTACAGTACCTGGGGCTCAGGTAGGCCATACTGCTCCCCGTTCACAGAGCTTCCCCTTCCACCCCCTCATTCAACCCCTTAAGGAGTTTTTCCAGCTGATGAGCGTGCTATAAATGCTCTGAACGAATAAGCAAACTTTCCATGTCTACCGGGCATGATCAGTATCAGCGAGATGATTAATTAGTTCTTTTTCTTAATTTAAAGTTAGCTCTGTAACATTTGGAGTTTCCCAAAGCATGCCAGTACCTCCTTCTTGTTTCTCCCAGACTGCTGGGTAACTGTCGGGGGGGAGGGGGATTCAATCACACACTTAAATTCAGCTTGCGTAATTTAAGCTGATTTGGAGGTCTTGTGCAGCAAAACCCCTTCCCACCCCCTTCCCCAAAACTTTGGACTTTTTGTAATAAGGGAAGCAACGGAAAAATGAACCGGGGGGGGGGGAGCGCAAAGGAACCATCGCAAAGTCAAAACGATCGCAACAAATGTTCATTGAATAGCTAGTGTCATCTAATATCCCTGCAAGCAAATTAGGACGAAGGCTCAATAAACAAGTTGCCCAGAAGTGACCTCAGTGAACCTGCTTTTGTTTCATTCCTGTTGGCACTCAGCACCCAGGGTGGGTATTGGAGGGGCTGGAATGCACATGGTGGCCGAGTTTCCATTCTTCAAATGGTCCCCAATGCTGTTTTCTCCAGGGTGCTACTCAATGGTGCTTTTCAAATGTTCCTCTTTGGCTTCTCAATCAACTTTGCTGCACAGATGCGGCCTCCCCCCCCCCCCCAAAATGCATAAGGCTCTTTCTACTAATGAAGCATCTCTAAAACTGGTCCAGCTGTGCTCTTTTGAATCTCCTAATTATTTATTTGTGCTGAAGCTGTTCCCGTGGAAGAGATTGCTTACCCCATCCAAGCGCTAAAATGAATGTGCATTAACTCACATGCATATTTGCACAATGTTATAATGACCTACCCACATTTATCTTCAAGATGTTCCTTCCTCCCTTATATGGTGTTTAAAAGTTTATGAGACTGTTATGTCCAACTAGAGTACATTTTTGGTGCTGTAATGGGAAGGCTATGAATGATTTAAATAAATAACTTAGTGAAGCTGGACACAGTAACACTGTAATCGTATGCATGTCTGCTCAGGAGTCAATCCCATGGAGTCAAATGGGATTTATGCCTAGGCCCAGATAAATAGGTATAGGATTGAAAACGAACAGTGGGGATGAATTCAGTGGGGATGACTCTGAGGTACGTGTGTATAGAATCACCCAGCCCCCAAACCAAGTCATGCTCAGCACAGACTTGCTGAAATCAATGGACTTAAGTTTGTCATGATTAAATAAATACCTGTTTACTTAAGCTCACTGGAAGGACAGTCCTGAAGCTGAGGCTCCAATACTTTGGCCACCTCATGAGAAGAGAAGACTCCCTGGAAAAGACCCAGTTGTTGGGAAAGATGGAGGGCACAAGGAGAAGGGGCGACAGAGGATGAGGTGGTTGGACAGTGTTCTCGAAGCTACCAGCATGAGTTTGACCAAACTGTGGGAGGCAGTGGAAGACAGGAGTGCCTGGCGTGCTCTGGTCCATGGGGTCACGAAGAGTCGGACACGACTAAACGACAAAACAACAACAACTTAAGTGAATCTACTCTGAGTAATGGCTAATGTGAATGCCACATACAGTACCCCAAGCAA